AATGTGAAATTAAAGAAGTTGAAGAGCAGTCAGTGGGTTAAGACCAGATTGGCCAACAAGCAGATTTGGCAGAACTATATAGAGACCTTGGGACCTTTCTGCAGAAGAGAGCAAAAGGTGCTCTTGTGACTCGGTTTAGTCTGTTGAATGGAATGGATGCTCCCATCTCTTTCTTTTTGGGGATGAATTAAGAGGCTGTTTTGCAACAAATCACCAACAGACTGGCAAAATGGAAGTGGCTGTTCCTTCTAGTGTTGTATAGTGAGAGGATGTTGATTATTAGCAACTTATCAACGTCTACTTTATGGCACCGGTTGATGATGCTCCCCCTGGTCTACTAGCAGACATCCAGAGGAGGTCTGGTTATCACTGGGTAAGGCCTGCCATTCTCTGTCCACCCACTCATGAAGGTGGTCAAGGTATTATAGACCTTGAAAGTAGAGTAGTGGCTTTCTACAGCTTTACTACAATGATGTAGAATGAACAGAGACTGAAATTTCTAATGTGAAACTGACTGAACAATCAGCCATTTCAATCAGCCTCAGGCAAAACAGCTTTGGAGACAAAGGCATCAGCTTACGCTAAGTGGCCTCAGATGGTAAAGTTGGCATTGAGAGGCTTCTCACTATTGCACAATTGTTTTCTGTTTGCTTTTGCTCCTCTTTACTATTCTGTTTATGTTTCAACTGAAAGCATTACTGTTCCCAGAACCATTTCATCCCCAACTGCCTACTGCTGAAGAACCTGTTCCAAGGAACCTCAGGAGTATCACACTCCTTTGTGGGTGTTGTGCAAGTTTCAAAGAAAAAAAAACAACATTTTTTTCTTCTGCTTCTCATTTTTTAACCCCCTCCCCCCACCCTGTGACACACTGGCTTACACCAAGGTTTGCTTTTGCTCCATGGCTAATAATGGGCTGTGAAGAAGATTTTGCTCCTTGTGTGTGTGTGTGTGTGTGTATTAGGATTTTTTGAGCTCACTCTTCTTTGCAGGGTTGCTTTAATTGAGATAGACTAGTAGCTTTTCAAGTCATGCTGTAGCATCTCTGCTGGGTTGAAGATAAAGCTTTGATGAGGACACTCCAAAACCTTGCTTCCTTTCAAATGTGCATTTGCTTTTCTGTGTTGGATCACTGTCTTGCAGCATCAGTCTATTACGCTTCAGCTTCACCTCATGGACAGATGAATGGACAGACACTCTCCTTGAGAATTAAGAACAGAACTCATGGCTGCTTCAATAACAGCATGTTGTCCAGGACCAGAGGCAGCATAACATCCCCACAGCATCCCACTACCGCCAATATGTTTGAATGTTGATATGATGTTCCTACTGTGAAACACAGTATTCACATGATGGCAGCTATAAAAGGACCTGTGTTGTCCAAAAAGTTACACCTCAATCTGGTCTGTCCATGGAGTATTATCTCAAAAGACTTAGGGATTTTCTCTGTGTTTTCTTAGTTTGTTTATGTTAGGTATTTCTTTTATTTCATTTCATTTTATTTTTGGACAATGTGAGAGGAGCATTGGATGTTAATGAAGACATCAGCTTGTTGATGACCACGCTCCTTAAGCACACTGCCTGCAGCTTTACATTGGTTCACCTTCAGGAGGGTTCTCCACACATCAGCGATATTTACAGACAACACCTGGTCACCATGTGAGGGAAGATTCTCACTGCTGCCTCAGTGCTGAATGCTCCAAAATGAGCATAGAAGTCATCCTATCTGGAAGGGTGCTCTTTTCAGATAACATGGAGGAGTCCAAATCTGCTCCATGCAGGCTCTCCTCCAGTGTCCTTCAAGGCTTGGTGCTGGGCCCCCTTCTCTTTTCACTCTACAGTCATTCTCTTGGTGATGGAAAAATCCAACCACTATGGATGGGCTGCAGACAGCAGTGATGAACACATGGGAAGCAGTTTTCGTGTTAAGGAAATAATAAAGGTTAGTAACAGTAACAAGTTGTATTTCTACAGGTTTTCTACTTTATTTTTTTACCTGTTATGTTTTTGAATAGTCAGATGCACTGCAGTGTGATGAATAGACAGTTACAGACTGTAATTATATTCAAACCAAATGTTATTTGGAGCTGTAAAATGCAAACTTACTTCTTTCCATCTTGTTTCTCAGTTACTAGTAAGTCTCACAGCAGGTAATGACATCAGTTCTTCAGAATAATGTGGCTAAGTGCACTGAAATTCTGACTAAATTACAGCATTAAAATGTAGCGCTGATACAGAAAAAGACATAAACAACATTGTGCATTCAGGTAAGTGCTCTTTTATTTTGAACTGGCACTTTGACAAAATCAGCAAAATACCCAGCTGGGGTTAGGGTTAGGGTTAGTGCTACCCCAACATAAAACACAGGAATGGTATAATGCAGGTGGACACAACATATGAGGAGTGTAAATGCTTCTAACCACTTGTTAAATTGCAAAACCCATCCTCCTTCAACATAGTTAGCATAACAGCATTCCCCCTGTCACCGTGACCCACACAGTCTGAACAAAGTTTTTAGGGTGCACGGAATCCTGGCCTGTCCACCGTCCCATTCCAACCAGCACAAGTCCTGTGAGCTATCCGATCTTCCTGGCTGGCTTCTGATTCCCCACTGAGTTGGGTTCACTGTATTGCCTGGTAGTGCGTACCCTCTTCCTGCACTGTTAGCAACCCAGTCGCTATGCTGCCATTTACTTGGGGGCTGCCTCCTCCTCAAGCTCCTCTGCTGCATGGCATCTCTATGCCAAGGATGAGTTCTTCCGTCTCTACCACAGTGTCTCAGCTCCTCCAGCAGCGTGTATGCCTGTTGAACCCTCGTGCTCATCTCCAAAACCAGCAGGCTTATCTGCTCTCTCTTCAGCCTCTGCCTCTGCTGGAGCGGCTGCCTAGACAACAGTGGCACCAGAGGGCCACAGTCAATGCTGCTATGTCATCATGTTCTGGCAGTAGATATACTTAAGCACCCATAATGTCCTCTCCAGTGCCAAGCATGGCTGCATCACTGTGATGGCTGCTGTGATGCTCCTAGGTTCCTAGGCATCCGTGTCATTGAAGTGCGGTATGTGGATGTGCTCCCCAGCCTGCTGCCTCGCCCTAAGCTGGGTGGACACATGATGTAGGAGGCAGGCACAGCACTCGGTACCCCTTTCCTCCAGGCTAGGTTCTCTTTGCCATCTGCCACTGAATTCATCGTTGCACCGGTCGACTTCTTCTAGCTCAGCGGCCAGCTCCCACTCCTAATACCAGAATAGCATCAGTGTAGAATCAGAATCAGAATAAACATGCACAAAATTGCATGTTTGGACAAAGGCTTTTTTTATTATAAACAGGCACTTCAACAGAGGCAGCGAAATGCCCAGACCACAGCTACCCCACACAAGACACAGGGAGGGGTTACAATGGGATGAGACAACACATAAGTACACATAAGTCCCACTTGTGACCCTCCTTGGTCACAATAACACTACTTAACACAACTACTCCAATAACAGCAACAACAGCAGCAACAACAGTAGCACTGAGCATCCTTTTTACCTGGACTGCCTAAGCACACCACCGCAGCATGGCCAGTATCATTGTTTAAATACTACCATACAATTGGTTATCGTGGCCATGTATACTCTGCACTGACTGCATTAACATAAGAACTGCAAGCGGCCCTTAGTGGTGCATTTTTGTCTAAAACAACCCTTTATTTAATTCATAAGAGTTATTTAAGCTGACATGCTCAGGTTTAGTTTGTCTCAGATGTTGCACTGTTTGTGGTTCGCTTTTTTTTGCTATTATGATAACCATTTATATCATGAGATAATGTCCCCATCACACAGAGAAGCAGATAAACAATCTGAACGGTACTGACAATATCAGGATAAGATGTATATTTGTTTGGCTGTAGTTTAAGATGAATGTCAGGTATGTCACCTACAGAATTACATACTTAAAGCTCTATCCAATGTAATTTGACAATTTAATCAATCAGACGTGAAGCAGATCATGTGCCATTTAGTGCTCTTATCTGCACTCATTTCTATGCACATTCGATGAATAAGTGCCAATCACTCCATTTCTGACACCAGGGAGTATACAGACCAATCAAGGAATTTGTGCTTTTGTGAAAAACAGTGAACTACCAATTCCCAAATGTTTTACATGAAAGCATGGGAAAACTTTTTTGTACTCTATGCAACATTTACCACTGTGAAACCCCAGTCCTGAAAAAAAAGCTTAAAAATATTGCCACAAATTTTAAGAAATGCCACTGTAAAGTCAAGCATTTTAGTCTGTAACAATCACAAAAAGGCAAATTCCTGGTGGGTCTTTTACATTCTTTTTGTTTTCATTAGATATTGTATTGCTATTTTATCTCCACTTCTTACTTGAGTTTTTATTTACTTTATCGCCTTTTTGTTTGTTGTTAGTCTTGTTTAGTTGATTGTATTTCATTTGAACTTTTTCAATCCCTGTTTAACTTGCCTTGCTACACTGTAAATAAAGGGTAACTCTCGATTTGCTTCCAATTGGCCAGTAAACACATCTTCAGCCACATAAGTTCTCTTATAATAATAAGAAGTATGAGATATTGTGTTTTTACAAATAGAAAACATACATTGTAGTAAACAATGATATATGTGAACATCATGCACAGCAAAACAGGTGCCTAACAAAGATTATGATAAGGCTTCTGGCAAGTCTCTGAGATATGATAGTGTCTAAAAGTGTAAGTGTCATGATAGTGTGTGAAAGTAAAATTCTAGTGAAAAATGTGGGGTTTCTTTCAGTCTGAGAAATAACCACATACCCCATGACATGTCACAACATGTTAGTGATGAAATACAAGCAATTCTCAACATTACATGCAAGTGATGTGCTTGTTCCACAGAAATTCATAGTGTGACATGATGAAGTAAATGTACCAGAACTGTACCACGTTGGCACTATGATCACGTGATCAGCCGAGACAACGTTTAAATGCTGGTGAACTTTCCTGCCTTTGACCGGATTGTTGTGACACAGAGCTTTGTTACACCTTTAAGATTATACCAGTGTCAGTGTTGCTGACTTGATTTACTGTTATTAAAAATTTCAGTTTAGCGGAAAACTAAATTGTATTTACTTTGGAGACAAGATGAATTCTGCTGCAAGGTAAGGACTCAAATACTTTGTACTTTTCCCCAACATTTTTAAGTGTAATATATTATGGTAAGCCAATCACAGACATATGAACATTGATATATACTGAATGAACTTTGATATACATTTTGGCATATATATGTCAAAATACACATACACACATGTACATCTAGACGATAAATGAATGTTTATATTAATTGAACACTGATATATACTTATGGAGAGATTTTTGTGACATTGTATGAATAAGTAAAGAAATAAATTATTAAAGTAAAAATTGCTTTATTTAATCATTTCATTCTTAAACTATTTATTGTGATCTAATTAGTTGTTATTTAAATGTGCATTATTCATACTTTGTGTGTTAAAATAAAATTATTAAATCCATTATTTAACCATTTATTTATTTAACCATTTATTTATTTATTTAATGGTTGCACTCCACACTATGAAATAATTAAATCTACCAACATCATCCATCAGTCAGTGTCTAACGCTGATCTCTTCAGGTAGATTGCTGTGGTATTCCACAGAGATCATTGTGCTCAGTACTGATGTGAACAGCCAGGCAGTCATTGCTCAGGTTGCTGTGCTCTATCATTAGAGAAGCGCTGGAGCACATCTTCCAAGTCTGAAGTCACCCTGGTCTATATCTCGGTCAGAGAGTGCAGAAATAACCTCTACCACCTCAATAAAGTCCTGTGTTTTACCTTTGATAGTCTGGCTTTGCACATCCATTATCGGCTTCTTATTCATATTTTCCATCCCACCTCAAATTTGTATAACAAGCTAACTTCAGTTTTGCCATGAATGAAGCTGCAATGTCTTGGAAAACAATATTAGCCAAAAGCAAGTTAGGCCCGCCGACTGACTTTGATGGATGATGTTGACACATTTGCATTGTATTCAATGATTTAAGTTTCTGTTTAAAATGTATAATTTAATAGAACAATTCATTTTATTAATTTTTTCTCATTTTGATTTTTTATTCATTTAGTCACTTATTTATAATGTACCAAAATCATTAAAACTCACAGTCATTAAACCCCCTACTTAAAAAGCAAGATCTTGATCCCAATGAACTCACCAACTATAGATCAATTTCCAATCTCCCTTTCATTGCTAAGATCTTAGAAAAAGTGGTCTCACATCAACTGAGCTCCTATCTACAAGAAAGTCCTCTCCATGAGATGTTTCAGTCTGACTTTAGACCCTTTCACAGTACTGAAACAGCATTAACTACAGTAGCAAATGATCTCCTTGTGTCTCTTGATAGTGGCCATACTTGCATACCTTCTAGATCTCAGTGCAGCATTCGATACTATCGACCACAAGATCCTCCTTGATAGGCTGGAAAATCTGATTGGTGTCAAAGGACAGGCTTTGTCATGGTTCCGATCTTATCTGACAGACCGTTATCAATCTGTCAGTGTTAACAATAAACAATCTGATTACACGTTAGTACAACAAGGATCTGTGCTCAGGGCCGCTGCTTTTCTCTGTGTACATGCAACCTCTTGGTAACATAATCTGCAGATTCAGCGTTAGCTTTCAATGCTATGCGGATACATAACTTTACATATCTGCTAAACCTAATGAGGCTCTAAATCTAAATAATCTTGAAGAACGTGTTAAAAATATCAAAAGCTGGATGACCAACAATTTCCTTTTTCTTAATCCTAACAAAACTGAGGTCCTACTACTGGAACCCAAAGCAGAGAGATCTCAACTCTCCAATTGTGAACTAAATTTAGAGGCGATTCGGTCATTCCAAGCACCACTGTAAAAAATCTAGGCGTCATCTTCGATTCCAGTCTCTCTTTTGATACATGTTTGCAACATTGTTAGAACCGGACCCACAGTACCTTAGTGAATTAGTTCAGTCATATGAACCCACACGTACACTCCGCTCACAAAATAACAGCCTGCTGACGGTTCCTAGAATTAGAAAAACCACAGCAGGAGGTCGAGCATTTTTCTACATAGCCCCGAAATTATTGAATCATCTCCCAACCTCTGTTTGGGACTCAGACACACTGTCTACATTTACAACTAGACTCAAAACTTTTCTGTTTGCACATTTTGCTAATATCAGTTGCTGCACTATTAACTCATTATTATCTCTCCATAAGTGGACCTGTCCTGTTAATCAATTTCTCTCTCTCTCTCTCGCTTTCCCTCCCTTAATTTGAGCCCCTGAGCAACGTCTGCCACCAGAGCTGCTAGAGTCACCAGAGCTCCATCTCTGTTGGCTGATCTGCACCTCACCCTCATGAACTGACCCTCCTGCTGCTGCTGCTGCATGAACTCAAACTAACTATTAACCACTGATCCACCTGTTTTCCCCATTTTGTATTCTAATATTTTATTCTAACGCTGTTTGCTGTTCGGTGTGGACCAGAGGAGGATCGGTTCCCCTTTTGAGTCTTGGTTCCTCTCAAGGTTTCTTCCTCTTGCTTTTAGGGAGCTTTTCCTTGCCACTGTCGCCATTGGTGACGCTCATGGGGGCTCGGACCCGGATTTTTCTGTAAAGCTGCTTTGTGACAACACCTGTTGTATAAATAAACTTTGACTTGACTTATAATATTGCAAAAATTGCTCCATATTTACTGAAGGAACACTGATATATATAATTGTTAATTTAATGTGTGTATAATGAACATTGGACCTCATTCATTAAGGTGAGAATGACAGTTTAAGAACACATCTTGAATCTGATGTACCTTTTCTTAAGACCTTTCTCAAAAACACATTTAAAAACAAACTTAGGAAGACATTCAAGAATGAGGCCCACTGCTATATATTAAATTAAATTAATTAGTTTCATGTGGAGCTTCAAAAATCTCCAAAACCAACTCAAACTAAGTTATGGAGAGTCAAGCTGAATTCATGTTCAGTGTGTAACAGCTTTTAGCATCAAAAACCTGCAAGAACTCCTCACAATATAGATGCTGTCACGGGTGACTCTACTGTATGTTTCCTAGAGTTGGTTATGAGCTCTATGGGTTTTTTTGAAACAAACAAAACAAGTCAAATAGACAACAACAATAGACAAACATAGCTAAAATCATGTCCTGGCAAATAATATCCAAATAGGAAGCAGGCAAAAAGGTAAAGTAAAAAAAACAGAAGTTAGATACACAGGAAGTCACCCAAAACACAGGAAAGACCGCTCATTAGCTCTGTGAAAGAAGCAATATCTCACAATGAGCTAAGATAAAACCTGGGCTTATATACTAACTAAACAAATCACATGATGAAAGAAACTGGTGAGGCAGGTCTCTGATACATGGAATGCTGTGACATCATAGTCATGTGTTCTCCCAGAGGGTTTTGGGAACTGGATTACACCAAAGAGTCAGGACCGGAGGGATACGTGACACTCAAACCTGTTTGAAAATAATGAGCAAACAGTTACATTCATTTGAATAGAAATCTTTTATTCTTCTACAGTACATTAACATTAATAAATATATATATCACACAAAAATAAACAGCCAAACCCTTTATATATAGATATATATATATATATATTTTTTTTTTTCATATGTAACAAGTACTGCCCTCATTCTGGTTGCAGTTTTACAGCCGAACAGATCAATGATGTCTCTGAGTACCTCTGGGATAACAACCTAGACCTTGCAGAGGGAACACTACATGTTGACTTCCTGAACAAAATAAAAAGTCATACCATGAAAGCTGAACGCTTTGTCAAGTTCATGCTGCAGGACATCCTCTACCTGGATGGGGTGACTACTATACTGAAGGTGATGAGTGAGAAGGTCACAGAGCCAGAGGACCTGAAAAATTTCATTGAAGGAAGATACTCCAGTTACAAGAAGTTTAGGGACTCATGTCTACAGAATCTTTCCATTATGGTAAGAGCTGAAATGTTGCAGCAATAGCAGAGAATCAGAAGCTGTTTGTTCTTTTTAATTTTACATTATTTTTTCTACTACAGGATCCAAATTCCATCAAACCGACGTCAGCCATACAGAAGTATCTGGATACATACAGAGAGGTGATGACTGAGAGTGATCCTATCTACTTTGTGGTGGCCCTGCTGCCCTGCCCCAGAGTCTGGTCCTGGATGGCTCAGAATCTGCAAATACCTGAAGATTCTGCCCACTACATCAGGAAATCAGACAATGAGGGTGGCCAATCCGAGAAGTATTACAAACCCATTCTGAACAAGTACCTAAACACGGCAGAAAAAGTGCAGAAGGCCAGCGATATCTTCCGCAGGCAAATGCAGAATGAGCATGACTTCTTTTACACTTCTTGAGCTAACAGCAGAAATGCTGTCCTGGGGCTTTATTACTTAAACTTCCTATTTTTTGTCTTAAGATCTGACAGGTCAAGATAAGATTTTTCACAAATCATATAACAGAAACAAATCTTATCTTAAATTAGGAATCTTATCTTTCAGAATCTTATCCCCAGTTAGGAAATTTTAAACTATTCAATTGATGTCAAAAATCAACTGTCATACCTGTTAGCTTAGCAACCGATGATCCACGCATAGCTGAAACGTAAACACATAATCAAAATAATCAAGTTAGTTAACCAGACATCTAGCTACCATTACTGATGTAAAAAAAAGGTCAAACAAAAGCTGTGAATACTGTGAAAGCGTCCCCTGCTGTATATCAGAGCTCTTTAGCCAAGCATGCTAACATTATTCCTCTTAATAAACAGACAAACATTCAGCTCTGTCTTCTCATTATTCACCACCATCACTGTAATATTTCATCATCAACATTAACACAGGAAGGTGATCAGAGGGGCGGTGGAGATCGAGTCTGCAGCGTCTGAGATTTTTAAAACGCAGAGTTAGAAAAGAAAATCATCTCACAGTGAAAGCAGCGTTTTACAGTAGAAATAAATGGAGCTCATTATGCTGGTAGTGAACTATGCTGCCTGACACAGCTGCCTAAAAACCATAGAAACGGACCTTAAACAGAAGTGAGGACCCTGTTGGGCTTCATCCTAAAGTTACGACAGTATTTAGGAGGTTTAGTCTAGTTAGGATGTTTGTGTGATGCTGTTTTCTTATCTGGAGTTAATGATGTGATTATGAAGTTAGGAACTGTTAGTCTGTAATAGCTACTGTCCTAAATCCTAACTAAACTCATCATGGAAACTAAACAGAACAGATTTCAGAGTTGAAACGTTTCTGTAATACAGCCCCTGATTTCCTTCTTTCCTTCTCTTTAATGTACATGATAAATGTGTTTAAATGATTAAATGTCCAACAAGAAAAATCCACAGAAATAATTCTGATTGGTGTCAAATTACAGAATTTTGCATAACTTTTTATTTTTTATTTTTTATACCTTTGTTAGCAAGTAAATGTGGGCATTGTAGAATTACTGGGATGTCTGCTACTTTCTCTGCATTTTAGAAGCGACTTTAGGGGCCTGGGGTTTGGAGAGCTGTGATGTTTATTGTCATTTATTGTTCTTAAAGTTGTTTTGTTGCCATGTTTAATTTGTGTTATGTGTTTAGCTTGTGTTGTGTTGGGTGTGGATTGTTTTGTGTGGGGTTTTGGAGTTCTGTGGCTGGTGGTGACATCCCTTCTCCATTTCATGCTTGTGTAGAGGGTGTTTCTGTTAGTTCTGAGTAAAACAGCATTTTCCAGAGCTGAAATTATGCCTTCTCCTGTTTCTTCTTCTATGCTGACACCACAATAATAATGATGCATGTAAGATTAGATTAAGTGACACTTATTAGTCCCACAACGGGGAAATTTCACCTCCACATTTAACCCATATGTGCGATGAAACACCCCCTACACACTAGTGAACGCACACTAGGTGGCAGTGAGCACAATTGCCCAGAGTGGTGGGCAGCCCTATCTGCAGCACCCTGGGAGCAGTTGGGGGTTAGGTGTCTTGCTCAAGGGCACTTCAGTCACGTACTGTCGGCTCAGGGGATCGAACCAGCGACCTTCTGATCACAAGGCTGGTTCCCTAACCTCCAGCCCATGACCACCCCAAATTTATCACAGGTTCTCAGTGAGAACGTCAAGGTGACAACATGACAATGCTTAATTTATATTAACCTAAACCTGAGACTTTCTTGTGTGAAGCTATTTTGGGAATAACACACACAATTATCCACTACACACACACCTTACTCTGTAATGAAAGGTGAAAATGGGGGGTATGCAGCATAAGTGTAAAAATGAAACTGATAGTTCATTATTTTTGGACATTAGTTGAAAGTTACTTTGGTGCAAACTTCAAATTCACATGTGTTAGGTAGGAGGATGTTTGATTGTTCTGTTCTGTTAGACAGTGACTCTGAGTTAATTAGATAAGACTTGTTTTGAGGGAAAAAAGGGAAAAATCCAAGGGGTGAGGGCTGTTAATACTATGTCCAGGCAATATAAAACTATTAAGAAAGAACTTGTTTTTTATTGACACCAGCATAAAAGGCACATATAGAACACTGAATTCATGGAGGAGTTCACCATTAGCTCAGGTTTCATTTTGGGCCATTTTGTTTTCACAGTGTACAAATTAATCCAACCACAAAACGAACTACAAACTAAGCGAACTGAGACCACCTCCTTTTGGGGCCGTTTAGAGGGGTCTGAGTTTGTTTGGCGTGTTCACATATGCAAAAGAAACCATGACTCAGCTGTCTGAGTCCACTTTAGATGCTGAAATGGCCCAAGTGTGAAAACGCCCTTACATTGCTAAATAAAAAATAAATTGTGTGTACAGCAAAAAAGAGTTCACAAATTCATGGCTCAATCTAAATGTTTGTTCATCCTCATAAAGTTGAGTTCTCAAAAATTCTCATTCCCTCATCAAAGTAGGTCTTTGGAATTCTGGGGCTTGACTGACAATATAACAGACCAATTCTGAAATTGGCTCAGTGTAGGTCTAGGCATGCCCTTCTCCCACTTGTGCAGCATGTGCACCCTGGAAGCCCTGGAACCATCCTGAGTGGTCAGTGACAGGACTGGTATCATTCTCAGTGTTTGTCCTAGTTTGTTTTCGTTTATTAAAGTTTGCTTGCAACTATGTTCAGCCTCATCACTCTCCCAACAAGACAGAAGACTAGACTGTTCACAATGGATGTTGCGAGCTTGTTCAAGGTGCAGAAGAGGCTCATTGAGGGGAATGGATGTGGAGGTGGTAAACTTTCTTTGGAAGTGCAAACGCTGTGGGCATAAGAACTGTGGAGGTGCAGCCATTTCAGCAGCACTGGACCTATCAGCCTCGGCCGCTCAGCCTTGGGAGCGATCGGTTGCCACTGATCCTCCAAACCGTCTTGCCACTGAACCTGCAGACTCACCAGCTGCAGCTGTTGCTGAACCTTCGTGCCGCTTTTGTCGAGCCTCTACACCTTCAGGAAGCTGAGGTGAAGCCTCTGGACCCAATGGCTGTCCGAGATGAGAGCCAGGGTGGGGGAGAGGTAGGGAGGTGACTGGCAGAGAAAGGCTGAAGATTGTCCTTTGTGTGTTCAAGTCTACAGTTGAACTCATTCATGTCATTAGCAGTCATTCAGAAGAAGGGTGTCTTTCTCATCTTGTAGCTGAAGATCTCTTGGAGGCCTTTCCAGACTGAAGTTGAGCTGTTCGCAGCAAAGCTATAAGGAAAACAAAGGCAGACACAGAACCAAAGAAAGACAAGGGCAGGGCCAGACAGGATGGGGCACTCTCCAGCTTGTGTTTGGCTTCTTTATGGATAATTCTGTCCCTACTCCTGAATGCTGCCTCCTTTTCCTTCTGAAGCTGCCTGAGTTCAGCTGAAAACCGTGATTTATCGTTGCTGTATTTCACCCGTACTGCAGTTCAAATGCAGATGTCTTCATAGAAACTGAAGTATGACATCACACTACAAATATGACATGCACTGATCATATACAACTCTGTATATTAATGAATGTGTATTTTATTTAAAAAAACCATATAGATCATTGATACATGTGAATACCAATATAAACAAGTACATTTAATGTCATTTATAAACATTTTTTTTTTATTCTGATGAACTAATTAGATTTTTAATAAGCAGGTCATGAGCTCAGTGGAGTCTCTGCACCCTCTTGTGGCTGTGTTTGGAGTTGCATGCCACAATTTATGTACTGAACAGGAAGCGAAATATTCACGTTTAAGTTATTAACATAAAAACTGAGTAAGTGTATGTGCTAAGAGAAAAAATAGATTCTATTAGGAAATAAACAAAATAATAAATGAAAACTATATAATATACATCTGTACACTCTTCAACTTGAGTTTGTTGTTGCTCATTATTTCACTCACTGTTAGAAGTGAGAGGTCAGCTCAGCACAAAATGATGTAGTTACTTTTCGTGAGTTGACTCATCTTAAGGACATGAGTTCACAGAACCTTCTTAGCTGAGTCAAAAGTTCTTTTAATTTTTTAGTTCTGCATCTCAGTAAGGTTCCAGTTGTGATGCCAACTTAGTTTACTGCAACACTCAGGATCACATGATGCAACTCAAATTTTATGTCTACAAATGTTTAATAAACTGCAGAAAATATTTGTTGTTTTAACTTTAAAGCAAGGCATCGTCTCATGTGGTGCAGCTGTCTAATAATTCATTCCAACATTAGGAGGTTGTGAGTGTGAATCTTAGCCTTATCATAGCTGTCCATATTCAGAAGCCCAAGAGGAATTAATGCCAGATGTGACTGTGTGATAGAAGGAGTGCAAGCTAGTGGGGAAGTTGAGTATGCTATACTATAATTATTATCTATTTTTTCTTTTTTTTACAGGACTGCCAATTCACAATCAGAATATCTTTATTCAACTGTAAGCATTAGATAAAAGAATTTGCTTTGGCACATTAGAAACTATTAAGTATAAACAAAGTTCCCTTTAGACATCAAGCCTCTTTAAAAATGTACTTTTCTTTCTTTGGGGTTTTTGACAAAATTTTAATCAACATAAGTGCTTAACATTGAGAAAATGTTACTTTTCCCCTCAGGCTGTCAAATCAGAGATTACATGAGCTGATTGTTCTGAAATGTACAGCATTTTTTGCAGCCCTATTACCAAATTTCAGGGAGATGTATAAATGATATTTAAAAGCCTGTGTCAATTCAATTCCATATTTTTAGCAAAAAATACAGAAATTCATGAAATGCTTTTAGAACTTTTACATGGTAATATGGTTGAATACTAATGCAGTGAAAACATTTAAAAGAATATAACAGACAGCAGAAGGGAATGGAGAAAAATGTTTTATTCAAAAAGTTATAACTAAAATATTTGAGTGTTTACCTTGACAGGCTGCACATGTTCCATGTTAACTGCTAATAACCATAAAGTTAACATGAATAAACTATATATATATATGGTTGAATGAGCATCCTTTACTCAAGCAGCCTAATCAGTTTTTGTGTGTAAACTGAGAAAATAAAATGAGAATACTGACCTGCCTGGTGGTCACTCTGCAGAAAAAACAAGATGATGATTACATTTCTGGTTGTATCAATAGTAATCAATATATCAGTAATATAATAAATAGATAATGTTCCATTTTTTACAGGGGAACAAGTTTGGCTAACAGGGTTGTGCATAAAATATGGAACACAG